ATTTTTTTTAAAATTATTTTTGCTGATTTTTGAGACTCAGAACTAATTTTCTTTTAATGCCTTTTTTTACATGCTTTTCTTTTTTAACACATTTCTTCAAAAATGTGTTTATAGTAGGAAAGCAAAATTAGGTATATGTTTAACAAATTCCTCAAAGAAAACACAGGATTTCGAAAGACCTAGTGACCTAGAAAGCCAGCTGTATTATATTATATCATTTCATTACATGTGACATAGTAACTCATGGACTATTGAAAAGGAATTCCGTTTAAAAAAAAATCACAATATCTTGCAATAACATTTTGTTGTATTTTAAAATTCATGAGTTTTCTTGTTCCGCCCCCCCCTTCCCCGTTTAATACAGACTGGCTTCTAAAAGTTAAGCAATAAGGGTAAAAAAAAGGGTGACAGTAAAATTACAAAAACCGAGAAACAAAGCTTCGATTAACACCAAAATGCACACGAAGGTAAAAAATACATTTAAGCATGGGAAAAAAAGCATAATGTGAATTCAAAAAGAATATTTAATTTTCATAAATTGTATAATAACATCATATTTCAGTCATTAAAAAAATTCATGTTTAAAACTAAAAACAAAGAAAACTTACATTAATGAGATATGTGATCCCCCTGGACTTTCAAATAAATTTTACATGCTTTCAATTAGGTGATCACAAATGCTAGCAATGGTCATTCCTCCATTAGGGCAGTTTCAAACAGACAGGAAGATGCAAACATGCAAGTGGCCACTCCATATGAGAAACACTCAAGACTAAAATTCTCAAATGCTCACTTTCTAGGTACTTGCTGATAATGCTGGCTCAATGGGAATAGACATTATCACATATAAGGAGCAAATTAAGCTCTACTGCTGCAGCATAATCTCACAATGGTGTAAAGACTTCATCCTGATATCGCCCATCATAGAACCTTGCAGCTGGGTGTGATATGCCATTGAAATGCCAGCCTATGCCATGATGTTACTACCTCTGGATGCATATTGGATGATTTTCTCGGTCTGATTCCATGGGCTTCGCTCTCTCCAGACCCTTATGTGCCTATCATCTGATTCCAGAGCAAATCTGAGCTACCTCATGAACAGGATGTTGCACTAATCTACAACAGTTCAATATAAATATTGATGATATCCTATAAAAGTTATAAAGGCCCTCTGGACTGGTCCATTAGTGGAACACAAGCACTTGGTATGCAGGAATGCATCCCCTTCATGTGTCTTAATAGTAATACCAGATATTGTATTACCCAGTAATGTTGCAAACACGGATGTAACAGCTGTGGAAGTCACTCACCGATTCTGCTTGGCTATTATAGAAATCTTCAAAAAAAGGGGGTAACACTTGGTTGACCAGACACAGGTCTCCAGATTGCTAGTTGACTTGTTTGGAATTGTTTTCACATTCTACAAATTATCAAATGTTTAAAATCAAAGAAAAGACTGACGTCTTTGATTAGACTACCCTGCTTCAATGAGTACAACAACATACTAACTATCACCATCTGGTATTCATCTTCTTTCAGCCATAAAAATACAAATATCATAAAAAAAATATCCTCTAAAAGTTATAAACACTTTGTATCAGGATTGAAATGAGCCTCCTCAAACCCTTCAGAATGCTGCATCTTCAACAACTGCTTAATTAGCACATGTTCAGACAGTGAATCATGATTGGATGCAATATACAATGTTTGCATATAGCCGTTTACATCCTCAGCAATTTTCAACCACTTGAATTCAACTCGATTAAAAAAAATATTTGATCACTCATGACTTCCATAATACGGCCTATTAAATTATACACATTTTTTGCTAAATTTCATTTAAACATATTTCCTCAAATTTCATTAGAGATATATTTCTCATCCAATTAATTCAGTTCTTATTTTTCAGCAAGGCCAAAAATACATAAAAACTCAAATCATCTTCATTAAAAATTCTAAAATACAAAGAAACATAAAACAAAATATAGTTTAAAAATTTTTTACAATTAAAATTAAGAGTTTATATGTAAAAAACAAGCAATTCAGCCAGTAAGCAGGGTAACAGATGTTTTGGTGCACAAAACTGAAAGTTTACTTTTGATCCCACTTAACAAAAAGACACTGAAGTTTGTGCACAAACTGATTAAATTCACTATTATACTAAGATATTCAAATATAAACAAATGACGGCCTGAAGCTTAGGCACCACTTTTAAATTGTTCCTAATTCTATAATTATTGCACGTATATTAATTAAAGTCATAACAACCATAATTAGAACATAAGAACAACATAATTCAATCAGTTTTAGAGCTAGAAATGCAAAATTTACCAACATATAAGGGGGGGGGAACTAAGCTCAGTCAGGTAATAAGAGTGGGCGTATATATATATATACATTGGTGCAGCCAATTGCAATCAAACAGCTACATGATATAGCAGTCTAATATACAAAATTTCAATGCTCTAAGGTTACTCATTTGAGTTATATGAGATACATAAATATCTGAGTAGGTACGGTCATGGGAAAAAAAAAAAAAAAAAAAAAATCTCTCTTCTGAATCCATTTTATATTCATTTTACAATCTGTTTTGGAAAAAAAAAAAAAGAGTTCTTTGTTCTGAATGTACATACAGATGTCGTGCAAAAACATCATTCAAATGAATTAAGAGTATGGATGGATGGATGGATATTTCAAATGGATATTTTCGCTGAAATATGATACCCGAAATTTTTCACAATTACAATACTTCCTTTACTTCATACAAGGAATTAATTTTTATTTACTTCATACAAGGAAATAAAAACTCCTAATTTACATTGCATGCTTAACTCCTGGTGAAGTCCTTTCGAGAGGTTGGTGTGTACATAAAATTATTATATTGTTAATAAGTATGGAAAAATGATAATCTAAAATAAGACCAATTATTTTATATAATGCAGTAATCACACAGATATCTCAAAACATTAAATTAAGGATACACCACTGTTTTGTTTCAAAAGTAAACATTAAACAGAAATAATAGTTAATTAACAAAAAAGAAAATAAATTAGGTAACTAGAAATTTAAGTACTTTTATATTAGCGATTACAAGATTCACCAAGCTGATAAAAAAATCACCAAAAATAAACATACAGAATAACAACAAAACAAAGCATACAAATAATAGCATTCAATCAAATCAAACTTTATGCTCATGGTAATACAGTCAAAAGTCTTTAATCTGGACTCGTCGGGACTTCGGCGATTCCGGGTTATAGATCATCAATTTATATCTGGTAAAATGGCATGCAGAAATTATAAAATTAAAAATATGAAACCGTAATTTATGAAATAAAAAGCAATAGATCTAAAGGGTATCAAAATTTACAAAAAAAAAAAAAGCTTAATATTTATTTGTACTTATTAACATTTCTTTCAACGCACGCATGCGTAAAGCATACATTACGCATAGTCGAAAATAGAAAATTGCAACCGGAAAACTATTTGACGTGTATTCGTAATATTTATAATGATGAGGAATTTGATTTAAATCATATCAAAGACGGAGTACATTGAGATAAAATACTACATTTAGTAAGGAATTATAAGCCGAATAAAATAAAAACATCTACCCTGAAGATAAGGATGGTGCTGACAGATCAACTTCCAGGTTATTGCACGCCATGATATTTCCGCCCCCCCTCGCAGAGCAGCGTGAAATTGATAAAGAGATTTCGGAATGGTTAGAGAAACAAAGGATATGCCTTTATCCATTTTTTGCAGCAATTCCACATTTTGTTTGATGGTCATCGAAACATGCTCTTCGCTTTGTAGATCCTTTGGCAGCTCCAGAATCGGAAATTCATTTTGACATAATCAAAAGTTCAAGCTTACTTTTATAAAACTGCTCTAACAGTCTGCAAAAAATAATAAGCCTGATCCAATTCGAAGATTAAGGAACAACACAAGCTGCAACATTAACTGAAATAGATAATTAGATAATTTTAGCTTAGCTCATACCGTCCATTATACATTAAACACGCATGCGTAGAAAGTTTGAGCTTTGAGGTCCGGATTATAGATCATTCCGGATTAAAGACTTTTGACTGTATCTGACTTTATGCACCACCATAGGATGCAATGTAATACATTAATTCACAATAAAGTTGCTTAATTAATAACATAAAAAGGTTTCAAAAATCAAACTTTTTTTTGTTGCACACAATGGTTACTATAAATTTATATATGACCATCCAACCAGGACAGTGGTTAGCGATGCTGACTGCTATACTGAAGGGCCTGAGTTTGAATCCTGGATAAGATATAGATGTTTCTAAATGTATACTGTCTGAATGGCATTGGGGCACTCTAAAATATGCGGTGAAGTCCTTTCGAGAGGTTGGTGATAGAGGAGAGATGGGAGACAACGCTGTTCCTAGCGGGGATGAAGTACATAAAAGTACGCGGGTGGCCAAAATCAGGGTTGGCGGACTTTTGCAACACCCCGCCTAAATATTTTAAATTCATTGCAATTACTTGTCATATATAAAGTACTTTTTTTATACAATTTGTCATATGTAAGTATTTAGTTAGTATGAAATAAAAATTTTATTAATCATTGCATTTTTCTTTAAATCTGGGTCAGCAATCTTAGGAAAGTATGTGGCCTAGGAACGACCCTGGTGGGAGCCCCTCGGACATGTCTCCCAATGGGATGTTCTCCCTCAGAATTGGGCGCAGAACTGAGCTAAAGTCATTCTGTCATCCTTATGGTGCTCAAGGCTCTTGCCAATGACAAGAGCAATCTTGACCCCTCACCATGATGAACTTCATGGGCTTGCTCTGATGTCAGAGACCTGATCTGATGTTAGTGTCAATCGGGTGGGATAAGCCACAAATAAAAAAACATAAATTTATACATTGTTCAAGAATTTACACAGTATAAGAAATTCTTTTATTCTTTATACAGGCCTGCTAGTGCAAAATATTGTTCTTTTAAATTACAAATGTATACTCACCATTATTGGCTAGTGCATGGAGTTTTTTCTGCATTGTTGAAACACTTTTATAAACACCACTGAAAAAAATAGTAAAAAGAATAAACATGTCTCCTAACCATATTATAAAACTGAAAATTTGTTCCAAATATGCTAAAAGAATAAAAAGTAAAAAATTTGAAAGTGCTAAATGTTTAAATGAATTACCTAAAAAATAAACATTTTTTACCCAGATTAAATGGGCTGGAAATGAAATATCTAGGGATACATTTATAATATATCTATAAATACATTTTGTAATATATCATCAGGTTAGAAAGTATTAGAATTTTGAATTCTAGAAAAGGGCATGTAATCATGATAGCATTGTAATTAATAACCAGCAATGAGGCAAAAAACATTTCAAATAGTATTAATAGCTTTAATGATGTTTAACAATCTAAACAAGAAAGCAGGTTAAACTGAATTGCTTGCTTGCTCAAAACTAAATTAATTTTGAGTAATAAAATCATGTTCATATACATTGCCTAACTTCATTTAAGGTTCAATTGTATAAGACTGAACAATTGCTACTCAAAATATATTAAAATGTCTTTGAATGAGAATTTAAAGTTATTTTGTGCTTTGCTTAAGCTGGGAAGGAGAATCAAGATTTTGATAAATCAAATATAAAACGGCACTCTTTTAAGAAATATATGTCATGCATATGTAATATAATAAAAAATATACATATACACCAGTAAAAATATTACTATTTACGGCAGTAATGATTTTTAAGAAGCATATATACTAATAATGTAAAATTTTTTTAACATATTTAACTGATTAAAAAGCTTGAAATTTTCATGAATAAATCAATAAATAATATAAATGATCTGTTCTAATAATTTTTCTGTAATGTCTTCAAAGAAAATAATTAATGAGTTGTCACAAAGAATTTATCAAAATATAATAATTTATAAGTAACTTAAATTTAATAATTCTTTTAATCTTTACACCTTACTCTACCAATGACCAAACTGTAATCTGAATTTATAATAATTTGCTTCCATTAACTTGAATGAACAAATTTTATGTATATATTTCATATACTTTTATAATATTGAGAAAATAATATTTTAAACAAAAAAATTATGTAATTTCAGGCAGACTAATTTCGAATAGGACTGTTTTATAAATAAAGGGGATTTTGACTTGCTTAAAATTATCTGCCTAACTAACAGGTTCAAAAATTTACTTCATCAAGGCCTTGATAAAAAGCTAGAAAAGAGTAAGAATATTGAAAGTTATTGGAGGAAGTATAACAAAACACAAAAATGCAAGATAATTTAGAAGTCCTAGAATAAAAACATTTTATTTTGAAGAACAACTGAAAAATGCACTACCCTGTATCTGGCAAGGGAAATTTAGCAGCACAAGGAGATGACCAGTTTCTAATGCACATATCAAATTAGCATCACTGCATATAACTTTAAAATTCGTAATGAAATGAAAAACATTTAAGACACTAGACTGAAAATTTTGTAATTTAGTAAATACATATAAAACCTTTATAAAAATTCAAAAATTATAAATGCAATTTTAAGAATTCTAACCTTACATCTAATAACTATTCTTGAGTGAAATCATTAAATATATACGCTGTAAATCCTACTTCAAATGTAACAGTATTATGTTATTGCTAATCTATCCCCAGTTCTAGTTTTATTTTTTGTAAAACTTGTAGTTTTTTCCATTTTATAAATGTAGTGGAGCCCTGTTTATCCAAACGGGCTGCAACCGGAAAATGCATACACCATTTTCCAAATTAATGTTATTTTAAAGAACACTGTAAATAAAGAAAATTTTTAATTTACATTTCAAGCCCTTTTTATTTATTTATTTTCACACACAGTTATTCGTATTTTATGTTCGTTGAAGGGAGTTAATTTTTTTATGGCAGAACTCATATAAGCTACATTATGTTATTACTCCTACCACCTTGCTTATATTAAAAAAAAAAAAAAAAATATTTCTTACAGAGCATAAATTTCATTTAGAATGCTCTGAAAGATTCTGGTAAATAATTTTTTGAAGGTCTTTTATGCTCACATTTTTTGATAGTTACTCACTTAAAATATATTTAAACTATAATAAATTATAATTGACATAATATATTAATAAATATAGGTCATTTCCACAAAAGATATTTTACAATCCATTGTTTCCAGTACATCTGATATTTTTTTGCTATATCTGATATAAAATCATTCATATACTTGAAACACCAGATCAAATATTAGAAATGTGCTGATTATAAATATATGAAACTTCTTACTATATTTAATCATAAATATATTGCAATAATTTACAAATTTACTCTTGAATGATGAAAAAAATTAAACTTAAAAAAAAATGAGAATTAATAATTTCATATCTCTTGATTCAGTCTTTATTTAATTTCCCATTTTAGCTAAGAGGTTTTATTGTAGTCTAGAAGAAAGAAGTAAAGCGAAAATTGAGGCTGATGCTGAAATTTAAAGGGAAATGTTCATAGGACTGACACTGCATAGAACTACCCAGCACAGGACTGACACAGTAGAGCTGACACTGACATACAACTGACATGAAAATATAGAAATTTTGATAATGAAGTAATAATGATGAAGAAGATAATGATCATTGGTCACCTTCATAAAGATCAATACTGCATGGAGTTGATAATGCATAGCATTAAAACTATGGAAGAATGACACCAGCAGGATCGTTCTTAGGCCATTGGCTGTCCACATACTTTCCTACGATTACTGCCCCCAAATTTAAAAAAAAAAAAAAAAAAAGCTCAATGATAAATAAAATTTTTATTTCACACACTCTTACTCAGTACTTACATATGACAAATTGTATCAAAAGTACTTACAGTGAATTTACTGAATTTAAAATATTTAGTCATGGTATAGCGAGAGTTCGACGGCCCCTGATTTTTACCACCCACATACTTTTTATTCGCTGCATCCCACTATGAATGGCCCTAGTGAATAAGAATGGATTTTGCATAAAGCACATAATTAAGAGCGAAATAATTTGATTTAATTAATATTGGGTACTTGCATAGGATCAACACTGGCACAGTATTCACACAAGCAAAGAGTTGAAACCAGTTTTTGAGCTGCTTAGTCAATACTGTGCTGGCAGAGAAGCTGTTGGTTCTATGTAGTATTAATCCTGTGCCACATTTCCCATTTAAATGATAGTCAATCATAACCAGTAAATTAGTAAGTGTGTGGAAACCATTTATTTCTGTAAAGAAGCACAGATCAAGATAACAAAAAGCGGAAATATATATTGAAAAAAATGCTATGTCTGTTCTGTTGCATTTGTTTTTGTTCTATGCATTTGTTGGCTGCAAAATATGCACAGCCCATATTCTCTAAATTTTCATTTTACAATGTTTTGAGGTCATTAAATGAAAGTATCAATAAAAATAAAAATGCACACTTAACTAAGATCTTCAAAAAAAAAATATTCTAATTCATCAAACTACATAAATTATTAAGTAATAGAACACAAACAGTACGCCGGTGTCCTAATATTTATTTTCTCATTATTCATAGATGTAAAGCTCTATTCTGATGGATGAAAGATCAAAGTTTATTACATAAAGAAAATTTAAATATACTTGTAATGATGATAATGAAGATATGCATTTCTCCTAATATCCTAAAAAACACTTTTTTTACTCAAGGATATTAGGTTTTTTTTTTTTTTTTTTTTTTTAAATATGAAATAACTCTTTTTTATAAAATAACTTCCACTTTTTTTTTGCTCATATAAATATGGTTAACTTAAGCAGTACAAAAGAATTTTTATAATTTATCATGAAAATATATTTTAGAAAAGTGATAAAAATCTGAATCAAGTAAAAAATTAAGGGTTATTGACGTGTTTATAAGTAAGTAAAAACAGTCAGCGCGGTGGTATTGGGAAAAAGACATTCATCAATAAAGACAGAACATAGCAATTAAAAAAAAGATTAAATAAATGTGTAAAAGATTTTGCAAGCAGCAAATAAAATAACAGTTGAGTTTTCATCAAATTTTTGTGGGGGGGGGAGGAGCAGAATATTTGCAACTTTTTCTTTAGAAACCCGGAATAATTTTTAAAAAGAAAAATTATGATTATTAAAGTTTTATTCAAACCATGAGCAAAATATTGCCAAACTTTCATAAGAATAAAATAATAATAAACACAAAGGTAATTGTTATACAGTCAAAAGTCGTTAATTCGGACACCCATAATACAGAATAATCTATAATCCGGACCTCAAAGCTAAATCTTTCTGCGCATGTGCCGCGTTGACGCAAGATCATAGGCGTTTTACGCGTCCGCGCAAGACATTTACGACTGCGCATATGCGTCTCCGCAAGTGCAGAATACGTTTTCGCGTGCGCGTTTAATGTATAATGGACGGCATAAGCTAAAATTATCTAATTATCTATTTCAGTTAATGTTGATGATTGCGTTGTTCCTTAATCTTCGAATTGGATCCAGCTTATATTTTTTGCAGACTGTAAGAGCAATTTTTATAAAAGTAAGCTTGAACTTTCGATTATGTCAATAGAATTTCTGATGCTGGAGCTCCCCAAAGGATCTAGAAAACGAAAGTATGATTCGATGTCCATCAAACAAAAAACGAATTGCTACAAAAAATGGATAAAGGTATATCCTTTGTTTATCTAACCGTTCTGAAATCTGTTTATCAATTTCACGCTGCTCTGCGTGGGAGGGGGGGGGATGTCGCGGCGCGCAATGAACTGGAAGTTCATCTGTCACCACTATCGTTATCTTCAAGGCAGATGTTTTTATTTTATTCGGCTTATAATTCCTTTCTAAATGTAGTATTTAATCTCGATGCACTCCGTCATTGATATGATTTAAATCAAATTCCTCGTCATTATAAATATCACGAATACAAATCAAATAGTTTTCTGGTTGCAATTTTCTAATTTCGGCTATGCGTAAGGTACGCATGCGCGCGTTGAAAGAAATGTTAATAAAATAAGGCAAATAAATATTAAGCTTCTTTTTTTGTAAATTTTGATACCCTTTAGATCATAATGCTCATTATTTTATAAATTACGGTTTCATATTTTTAATTTTATAATTTCTGCATGCCATCTTGCCAGATTTAAACTGATGATCTATAATCCGGAAAAATCGATAATCCGGAATCGCCGAAGTCCCGACGAGTCCGGATTAAAGACTTTTGACTGTATATGTAACTGTAACTGTACCTATTATTATCTTTAATCATTACTGTAATATAGAATAGTAGATGAGCAATGTAGAATAAACAATGTTTGTGTATGTCTTGTAATCATCACTGAGCACATACCCAACATATATAAAATAGAACACAGTAATTAATAGTGACATAACCTCTTCTGTACATATCCTAATACTTGAATGAGTAACTTTCTTGGCATAGAATCAACGAACAGATGGATGTATGGCATCATCGATGATACTACAAATAGTCATAAGGAACAAGAGCACAAAAACTGCAATATCCCACTATCTTTGCATATCATGCATTTATACATGAGCTACATCTGTATTCAAACTCAAGTTATATGCAGGCCGAATGCATGACCTGAAGGCAGTTGATTGGCTAGAATTTTATTGTAACAAAATAAAACTAAATTTCAAATAACTAACTAAATTTTAACTTCAGATTTCACGTACTAAATATTTATCACAATATACATAAATAACAATAATAATAACACAAAGGAAAAAACTCATATTTATGGTATTTATTATCTACTTGTAAAAAAATACTTGTAAGTAATATTTTGTTGGCTACACTTTGCACTTCAAATGCATTAACATCTAAATATTAAATTTTCAGATTGAAATTTATTACAATTAATTTGAGTAAGTTTAATTAACCACTAAATAACTTGCTTTCAACATAAACTAAAAATAAACATATAAAAATTTTCTAAACAGGACAAAATTATAGAACAAATAATGATAAACTATTTCTAGTCTATGTCCTTATGTCTCTTTTTCTATTTATATTTTAAAGCATCATGTCTAGAAATGCAATGATTAATGTCCTATTTTTGTTAGCTTCTTTCAGGTACCTACCTGCCAGAGTGCTGTTACATGCATTACATATGTACTTGAAAAATTGCTTTGGAACTGCATGTGGCCCAAGGACCACCAGTTTCAGATCACTGATTTATATGGCCAATGGAACAGATCCGTATTACCTTTTATGGCCTTAAGTGTATGTAATATAAAATGAATTCAATCATGATATGAAAATAATTTGTACGTTGGACAGAACAAGAATAAATGATGGTGAATATAAGAATTCAAGACATAAATTGAAATTGTTACCATCACCTGGCAAAATTGAGCAATAATAATAGTATATCCCCCCTTGTCATAGAAACAATTTTATTGTAGTACAGTACAAAATCTTTAATCCGGACTTGTCGGGACTTCGGCGATTGCGGATTAGGGATTTTTCTGGATTATAGATCATCAATTTAAATCTGGTAAGATGGCATGCAGAAATTATAAAATTAAAAATATGAAATCGTAATTTATGAAATAAAGAGCAATTATGATCTAAAGATCATCAAAATTTACAAAAAAAAAAAAAAAAAAAAAAAACTTAATATTTATTTGTTTACTTTATTAAACATTTCTTTCAATGTAAGTTGTTTAAATTGCTTCATTTTTTCTGCTAATACTTTCTTTTTAATTCTATAAACAGACATAATTTCTTGTTCAAAGTCCTGTAATTGCTGTGTCGAGAATACCGACTAACTTGTCAATGGAAATTTTTTTTATTTTCATTAACCTCTCTGTCACTTTCTTCACTATCGGAAGGGGTGCATCGAAACAGTCTTTCGCTTTGTGATCCTTTGGAAGCTCCAGAATCAGAAACTCTTTTTGACATAATCAACAGTTCAAGTTTACTTTTTATAAAATTGCTCTAACAGTCTACAAAAAATAATAAGCCGGATCCAATTAGAAAATTAAGGAACAATGCAATCTGCAACATTAACTGAAATAGATAATTAGATAATTTTAGCCTAGCTTATACTGTCCGTTATACATTAAACGTATTATGCGCATGCGTAAACGCATATGTGCATGCGCACAAAGTTTGTATCTTTGAGGTTTGGATTATAGATCATTTCGGACTAAAGACTTTTTACTGTAGTAGCAAGAGACACATAGTGACAAGATAGAAAAACGGCACATTAACTGAAAATTTACTTCAAAGTTTAAATATGAGAAACAGTGGAAAATGTTACGGCAAATCATCTTAATTGCACCGAGATTCATTCTAAAATTACAGAGATGAAGCAAGCATATAGTCAAATGATGCCATCATTTCAAACATGGCTGCACAGACTTCACTGATGCTGACTGGCAAAAGACATACTGCTACACACCAATGAATGCTTTTACACTAATCATGAAAAATTGGGTGAGAATTAGTATCTTGACACACAACAGTTTGCCAGAGAGGAATTGATGAACAAAATTTCTATGATTAAAGAGCAAATTTCTATTAGCAGACAACAGAATGATTGACTAAAAGTGTCAACAAGTGTTTATGCAGCCTGAGCTTAGAGTCATATACCCTTATCAAACTATAATAAATTTTTTTTGACTCAATATTTTTTTTTTTACTTACAATATTCAAAGATAACTTACTTCTTGAATCAGTTATGCATAATCATATGAAATTACAGTTACAGAAGACATCCCCTGTCATTTCTGAACATATTGCTTCATTAAATATATTAATTTTTTTGCTACTTTTTCCCCAAGATTTTCCTATTACAGTACTAAATAATACACTGGCAGCTGAGAAATATCTCACAAAAAAATGCAACAGCTAAAGCTTTTTTTTGGGGGGGGGGAGCGGATGCCTTTCTATCACAATAAATAGATGGATTGCAGTAAGTCATCTGCCTACTTTAGAAAGAGATTATCCCAAAATATGAGCATAAATATTGAGTCATTATTGATCATTGGTTGAAAGTACACACTTCTGCTCCAATATGCTTGTGAAGCAACCAATCCAGCTGTAAAGAATCTGGCTACAAAGAAAGAAGAAATAAGGAATAGAAGTAAAGAGTGGTGCTACATTACAGCAAAGTGAATACTGATATAAAACAACACACAGTTTTTATTAGCTTTAAAATCAGTGCATTAAGGCTCACTGAGGTGTTGATGGCAAAAATAATAAAAATACAGAAATGAATATTATCAAACACATTACAAATATATGCAAGCAAATCATTTATAAGTTTAACGAATCCTATGGCACTGTGAATTAATTGAAAAGTAGTCACAAATCATGCCACACCCCTACACCATTGTAATATTTACCACAGCCTTAACCATAATTTTAAACCTAATAGTTTTTACTGTACAGTCATAGATCACTAAACCTTCTGTTTAAAAAAAAAATAATACAATCTAGTACACTAGATGGACTTGGCGGTTGCAAAAGGTGTCGCACAAATATTAACTATTGAAGAATCAATTTACGTAAATGTAATATACTTTCGAGAAGACCACATATACATAACTTTAAACACTGCACCAAGATTGAGGGGATGGGAAGCTGATTCCAAAATTTCAATAGTTAATAAATCACATACACCTATGACATAAATAATATCTACAGAACATCCATGCTGAAGAGTAAAATTTATGCCATTAATGGAACTTAGAGAAACAAAGTAAAGAGTTTAGCAAACAAGATACTGCTGTATTTAGTCTGATGAGAAAAAAGATATTTATTGGTTTGGTTAACTAAGATAATGCATGAGAGTGTTATCTACTTAAAAGGAGTAGTGCCTTCATAGAAAACTTTCTAACAGAAACTGGTTTGCATTTATGAAACAATACAAGATTCTCCACAGAGTGGAATACTGATGATGATGGAAATTTTTTTTAAAATAAGGTAAGTACAGTACAAAGTCTTTAATCCTGACTCGTCGGGACTTCAGCGATTCCAGATTAGGGGTTTTTCTGGATTATAGATCATCAATTTAAATCTAGTAAGATGGCATGCAGAAATTATAAAATTAAAAATATGAAACCGTAATTTATGAAAGAGCAATTATGATCTAAAGGGTATCAAAATTTACAAAAAAAAAAAAAAAGCTTAATATTTATTTGTTTACTTTATTAAACATTTCTTTCAATGTAAATTGTTTAAGTTGCTTCGTTTTATGTGCTAATACTTTCTCTCTAATTCTATACACAGACATAATTTCTTGTTCAGTTCCATTGTTCAAGTCCTGTAATTGCTGTGTCGAGAATACCGACTAACTTGTCAATCGAAATTTTTTTGTTTTCAATAACCTCTCTGCCACTTTCTTCACTATCGGAAGTAGTACATCGAAATATGCTTTCGCTTTGTAGATCCTTTGGCAGCTCCAGAATCAGAAACTCTTTTTGACATAATCGAAAGTTCAAGCTTACTATTTATAAAATTGCTCTAACAGCCTGCAAGCGCAGAAAGTTTGTAGCTTTGAGGTCCGGATTATAGATCATTCTGGATTATGGACGTTCGGATTAAAGACTTTGTACTGTATTACACAGCAATATTGTTGCTAAAGTTTTAAACAGTAAATATCTTACAAGATTATATGACACACTCCTCACTGCATTATTCAAAATATAATATCCCCTTAGTTTTATTTCTTAGTACTACTTACTACTTTAGCTCTATTTACCACATTACTTTTCAGAGCTTAAATTACATAAAAGCTCAACTAAAATGCTTCTTAGTTTTTAGATAAATCATAATTCTAGCCTGAATGCACCTAAAATAGAAGATTCTGTGGATGTAAAAAATTTTATTTTAATAATAAATTAGTCTTAAAAATCAATTCTGTTTTATAATGCATGCCTCTCTTTACCTAGGAAACCAAGCTCTTGGACAGAAGTTGATACTTTTAAGGGATGTTTGTTGTATACATTCAATACTAGTGTCTTCCCACAGAGAAGAGTGCCTGCAGACTTTTCAAACAATCTAACCAAATACAGGAGATGGAAATTGTGATTTGTTTCTTTGTTCTCAGCTAACATCAGATTCGGAGAATTTTTTTTTCCCTCTGTCCCTTACTGCTTGACAGCTAGAATTACACTCATAAGGGCATCATGGTCAGAAAGTGTTGGACTATTCTCTTTGTCTTTATATTTACACATTCACTGTTAAAATTTCCTCTATATTCTATTACAACTTCTAGTATTCTCCCCATTCTCAATTATGACATTTGAAGCACTTTAACTTCTTTTAATAGTGCGCTGGAAAAAGAATGGTCTTTGTTTCTGCCATCTCTTGAAGTGGTACATTATACTGTATACATAGGGCTGAAATTCAGCTGGAACCAGTTGAATTATCCGTTCATTTTTGAGTGAAACTGTAATTCCAGCAGAAGTCCCAAATAAGATGAGGTTCAGTATTTTATTTTATTATTCAATTGCTTACAATTAATTTAATAATTTATTAAATTTCTATTTATCTCTCTATATTTTATTGCACTTAATCAATCGTTTTACTATTTCAATAATTATTTTACTTATTTATTTTTGTTCCTCTTTCTTGATTGTCTTCCACACAGCTCCAGCCCTTCCAATTTTAGAAAGTAAAGGCATTTCTCTCGCCTTCTTGGTGTTGTGGTCTGTATGCTGGGCGAGTACTCCAGAGGTCTGTGGTTCGGTTCCCGGCAAAGGCATTGCTCATTTTTCCCACCCCTGCTTCTAAATATCCTAATGTCTCTACAGTGGCACCTGAACTAAAAGGGTGTTGAACGATGATTCTCCACACCCAGGATTTGGCGAGTGGGTCTCCTAAAAACCCCAGTCGCCCTTTAAAAGGGGGAGTATATAAAGTATTTTTCCTGCCTTCCTGGTATGCCTTTGTGTTGTGGTGCTCTGCACACATGGCGCATATTTCAGAGGTCCACGGTTCGATTCCCGGTGAAGGCGTTGTTCATTTTTCATCTCTCCTGTTTCCAATTAACCTAATATATCTACAGTGGCGCCTGAACTAAAAGGGTGGTGAACGATGATTCTCTCCACCCATGATTTGGCGACTGGGTTCCCTAAAAACACCAGTCGTCCTTTGAAAGGGGGAGTATATAAGGTATTTCTCCCATCTTCTAAGCATGCCTTCATGATATGAAGGTCTGCACGCTGGGTGCGTATTCTAAAGGTCCGCAGTTTGATTCCCAGCAAAGACGTTGCTCATTTTTCATCTGTCCTGCTTCCAATTAACCTAATGTCTCTACAAGCAGTTATTTTTAAAATCTAGAAAACAACCAGTAAAGTTTAAAAGCTAGAAAAGTAGTGAGGAAAGGCAGGTTAGGTAGTATTTTTTTTTTTTTTTAAATCATAGCTGATGACGGCATGATTCTGAATAAAATTCACTTGTTTTTGATTAGAATAAAAGGTAGTCTATTTAATTAAATACAATATTTTTTATGGTGGAAAAAAATTAATGACAGATTATTACTTACTTGTTTGAAGGAATACCAGTAATCATAGTGAATTCAGACCTACACTAAAATTGCTGAACTAGACATAGCTAATATAATTAACAACAGTTATGCATTTAATATATATATATGATACACTTAATATATAGGGTGGTTTATTTAGTACTAAACAATGCAATTCATTTTATGCAGTATGATAATTAAACCGCTTCTCATTTCGGAATTTAGTATATTAAAATACCTAAAAACCTTACAAAATATTAGACCAAAAACATAGTTGAAAAAAGGGGGTGGCACCTTATTTTTGAGTAAATATAGAATACTCCAAAGCAGAAACAATAACATGCAGCAATTGCTTAAACTTAAACTGGTTTGCAAAATAGGATTGGTTGGGGAATTTTTAACATTAGGTTGGGTGCATGTTTTCTCATTGCAGAGTCTCCTTATCCCCACTTCATCCCCCATGAAGAAAGGAATGTGGAAACAGATGGTGAACCACCTGCTTTTCTTCAGGACCACAGATGCAAGCAAATTTGTGTCAGAAAATGAATAAATAATTTTGAAGTAGCTAGAAAAATCATTCATTCGAAAAACTTTGTTAAATTCGGCGTGTACTTCATTCACTATTTGGAGTTTTTTCTACATAGAAATTTAAACGTCAGGTAAAAATTCTGTGAAAATCTTCCCAAAATAGAGGAATTCATAAAATAACGTGAGGCTTGAGTGTAACAAGTTAGGAATTTTGCCGATGGCTCATCCACTTTGTCAGCTAGAATTGGAATAAATGGGAATCAGATTTAATATAACTGCCCACCACCATGTAAAATACCTCATGAATGGTACATGATTATTTTTTTAACTAAAATGCATAAAGAAACTCACTACCTTTCATAAATAAAAATAATATTTACTGTTGCCACCTCATAAAACTAAATCTTTACCGTTGAATAATATTAAAAAACAATTTTAACTCTTAAAGCTCCAGCATTTGTTTCTGCATTCCTTTTTTTAACACAAATTTGTTTAAAAATACCAAAATAATGAAAAAGTATACAACCATTTGAATAAAACTGGGGGAGGGGTAAAAAAACTATATAGAAAGGATTGCAAGTTGTAGGTTATTACAAAACTTCATCATAACCAATTTTTATTCTTAATGCTTTGAAAACAGGTATCATTCACAGATTTAATTAAATTTTATTATATGTCAGGTATCATCAACAAGTGACATGCCACAAAAACATTAATTCAGATAACAGAAGTTTGAGAAGTAGAACTGGAAGTTTAGCAAGTGAGCTATTTCAAAAAAACCTATTTTATTCTTAATTCACAAGGTATAAAACAATATTTGTTATTACTTGCAATTAAATCAGTCAAAATGGAAACAATAACACCTCTTCAGGGTAAAACATTAAATCATCAAAAAATATATAAAAAATAACATAAAACACATAAAAATTCAAAAATGTCTTATAGCTGCAAAAATTATACTGTACATTTCTGAATGTTTAATGTTTCTGAACGTCTGAATGAACTTTTAATGTTTTCATTATACATCCTCATTTTTTTCATATTTTATAACATATAAGTAAATAAATAAAATGAATGCTTACGCAGTTGGCACTCCAGGTCTATTTTTTTCTGCAGTTAAGTCCTTCTTTTGATTTTTAAATTTGGCAGCTCCAGAATGATTTAAGCTTTTTTCTTGATATGACTGGAAGCTATTATTCTTATGTCTTTTGTAATCCCTTTTCATTTGAAAATCGTAGTTTTTGTTTTTAAAGTCTTTTTTTCTTTCAAATGAATGAAATGTTTTCTCATCTTTTCCTTTCCTGACACTATGTGAAAATGAATCTGAGAAATTTTTCTTTCCTGAAAATTTATGTTTTGATTCTTGTTTATTGAAATCTTTATATTTCATTTCTTTAATTGAAGAATCTATATCATTTTTTTCAGAAAGCATTTCACTTCCACCCAAGAAAAATGGATCATTTCTATGTTTATTTTCTACTACATTCTCCTCCACTGCACAGGTAGATATAATTGGTATTTCATCAAGTCCATGCAGCTCATCTAAATTTAACACTGTTATAGTCTTAAAAGCATTCGTTGATTTGGTATTTTCTTCATTTAATTCTGGACTAAGTAATGCTAGACTACTTTTTATATTTTCTGATTTTTTAAATACATGTTCTGAATCTTCAGCCTTCATAGAATTTTTATTTACAGCAGTATTTCTTTCATTTGCTTTCTTAGAAACTTTACTTGATTTAATCTTTGAAATTTCATTATTGCACTCTACATGATCATGAGCTTTGCCTCCAGAATCAGATGATGGATTTTCATCATTACACTCTTCTTGAAAACTTGCTTCACTTTCAAGATCAGATGGATGATTTTCATCATTACACTCTTCTTGATCACTTCCTTCCCTTTCAGAATCTGCTGAAACATTTTTCTGTATAGGTTCCTTGATTTTAAACTTTTGATGCAATATTTTCCTCTTATGTAGATGGCTTTCAGTTTCTTTTTCACTATCATATTTTTCTGCATTAGTTTTTTTAACAGTTTTCTCAGATTTAATATAACTGTCCACCATTTCACTATGAGAAAAATCATTTTCACTGTCAGTGTAGCATGAAATCTTAGATTCCAATTTAGATGCAGTGTTCAAAGCTGTAGTTCTAGTTTCAGATGTGCTTATTTCTTCTTCATTAGAATCACCACTATTATCAGATACTTCCTCTTTGTCTTTTTTATTAAAATTACAATCTTGTTTAACTGACAGACTGTATGTTTGAACAGATAAAACTCCAGATCTAATTTCCATAGGCTTACAAGCAGAAGACTGACCATCTTCACTTTTTTTATTTATTTGAAGCAAAGATTTATCATGAGAATTGAACTTGACCTTTTTTCCTTTTTCATTCTTCCTGTTATGAACATCTGGTGCTTTTCTACTTTCCTTTAGTCTCTTACGTTTTTCTTTCCACTCTTGTAGAAGATCAGAAAGCTTAGGAATTAAATCAGAATGATGTTCATGAAAATTTTTAACCTCTCTTTGAACTGGATTATATGATGCTAATAATGCAAAACAGCGGTCATTTAGGCATGCTGTTTTCTGAAAGAAAAGAAAAATTATAATTACATTTTTTTCAATATAACTTATTCAACTTTGAAATAAATAAGACCTATTTTAATTGCAAATTAATTATATTTTATAAGTAAAATATTTTATTAAGTTTTTGAAATGAATGTACATCGAGAACAAAATTTATTTATGTTCCAACCAAACAAATAAACATAATGGATATGGCTTCATATCATTATTTTTAGTTCTGTTACAGCACTGTTCATGATAAATATCTTAATGTATATCCTATTATGTAATTAATATTCTTATTAATGCTGTTCATGTCAAATATAAAAACTGTAGTTGTAATATCCATTTTTGATAAAATTAGAAAATATTTTTCCTAAATCTTCGTTAGCAACACTATTTGCAAAATTAGTTATTATAATATTGTTTGGATTTGGGAACTCTACTGATAAAACAGACTACAGTCAAAAGTCGTTAATTCGGACACCCATAATTCGGAATGATCTATAATCCGGACCTCAAAACTAAAAACTTTCTGCGCATGCGCCGCGTTGACACATGCGCATAGGCGTTTACGCGAGCGCGTAAGACCTTTTACGACTGCGCATATGAGTGTGCGCAATTGCAGAATACGTTTTTGCGTGCGCGTTTTATGTATAATGGACGTATAAGCTAAAATTATCTAATTCAGTTAATGTTGATGATTGCGTTGTTCCTCAATTTTCGAATTGGATCCCGCTTATTATTTTTTGCAGACTGTAAGAGCAATTTTATAAAAAGTAAGCTTAAACTTTCGATTATATCAAATAGAATTTAGGATATATATTTGTTAATATGTAAAGGATCTAAAGTGAAAGTATGTTTTGAAATCCGAAATCTGTTTATCAATTTCACGCTGCTCGGCGGGGGGAACGCCGTGGCGTGCGCGTAATGAATTGGAAGTTGATCTGTCAGCACTATCCTTATCTTCAGCGCAGATGTTTTTATTTTATTTGGCTTGTAATTCCTTACCAAATGTAGTATTTCATCTCGATATGCTCCGTCTTTGATATGATTTAAAACAAGTTCCTCGTCATTATAATTCGCTTCTGATAGCGAAGAAAAGTAACAGAGGTTATTGAAAACGAAAAAATTTCGATTGACAAATTAGTCGGTGTTCTTGACACAGCAATTATAGGACTTGAACTGCGGAACTTTGTAACTGAACAAGAAATTATGTCTGTTTAATAGAATTAAAGAGAAAGTATTATCACATGAAACGAAGCAAAACTTAAACAACTTACATTGAAAGAAATGATACATAAAGTAAACAAATAAATATTGAGCTTTTTCTTTTTGAAAATTTTGATACCCTTTAGATCATAATTGTTCTTTATTTCATAAATTACGGTTTCATATTTTTAATTTTAGAATTTCTGCCTGGCATCTTACGAGATTAAACTGATGATCTATAATCCGGAAAAATCGACAATCCGGAATCGCTGAAGTCCCGACGAGTCCGGATTAACGACTTTTGACTGTATTATATTTTAATCATATCTATTTTTTACATCCTAAAAAAGCTAAATGTTTTACTAGAAATGAAATTTGGTACATCAGATTATAACATTATTGCTAGTTCTCAAATCATAATATCAAAGATTTTTACATTTCTGCAATTCTTCTACACTTTTTTGTGGTATAATTATTGACTGAATGGACTCTACTCATTTAACATGTTTTAAGATTTAATGCTTGAGTAAATGTTCTTCATTTTTAACATGCTGAGGAGATTGTCAAATAATATAACAAATTTCCTTCTTCTAACAATATTTGTATTTATGACAGCTTCTAGCTAAAAATTTCACATGTAGAAAACTGCCTCTGTATCCAAAATTTAAAGAATAGTCATATGGTGAATATGGTCATAAAGTAATAAAACAAATGATAATCACTATTTAAAATTAAACCATGAATATCATCTATGTTACATAATAAATCTCTAATTGACAGGATAAAATTTAATCAAGAAAGGAAAGAAGAAAGTTTTCAAATTGTAAGCAAGGAGCACAAAAAGTCACCTTCTCAATGGCAATAAAAATATGCATATCTCAAGCTCAGTTGCTTCTTCACCTTTTGAATGAGCATAACTATCATTCCAGTTATGCACCACAACGAGCATATGCAAACACAGCTTGCATAACAAATTTCTGCTTAAATGATAAAAACAAGTCCCTGCTCTCGAATTATATTTTTTCTGCAATACATGCAGATGAAATAGGTTTGCTCTTTAAAACAATCAAATTTTTTTTAGTGTTACAAAGGAGTTCAACTTGTAAATTTGTTGATTTTACTTGGCATGGATGGCAGTAGGAGTAAAACGAGTTGAACGCATAAATTATTTGATTTTACTTTGTATGGATGGCTGTAGGAGTACTAGATAATTTAATGCAAAATGAGGCTGAATTTGGTGTTTTTTCAGGAATTTGTATTGTCATATTTTCAATGCATATTATAGCTAGAAATACGGTTAAAGATCAAGCTAAAGCATATTTTTTTGAACGAGGAATCTAATTCTGAAGACGAAAATATTTTATCAGATAATGAAAAGATTTGGACTTGAATATAGATATTTGTTTTGAAAGTTAGACAGAGGATTCAAGAGTAGAAGAAGATTTCAAAAGTGTAAACAGTGGTGCGCAATTAATAATAGTTTGCCTACTGCATTTTGATTTCACATGCATGCCTAGAATAAAAGAAACTGTTGAACATATGTCTGACCCCCTGGAATATTTGAGTTTCCTTCTTTTTTTACGGGGGGGGGGAGGAGGGGGTGCAGTGAACTTATACAAACTGTTTTAGAACTAAATCATTATGCATCAACAATGCAATTAAATATTAAATTCCTCAGCAAAAAGTTCTCATGCACTCATCATTTGTTTAATATAACTCCAAATGAATTATGTGCATTTACTGCAAAGAATTATTATCAATCCAAGAGTAAGATGGTATTGGTTGCAAAAGTAAAATAGTCAAAATTCTGTGCTTTGCAAGCCTTAGTACTCGAAGCTTTTTGAATCTGTAGTTCCTTCACTTCGACTGTTGATTCATCACATCATTAACTTTAAAAAAAAAATTTTTTTTTTGGACTGTAATTATCTATGGAAAAGGTTTTTGGAAGTTTACATACTTAATAAAAATACCTGTGTCGATGAAGGTCTGTTATTGTATAAAGGAAGAATTGGTCACAGTATTTTGCACTCAAGAGAGCATAATTAGGCATCAAGATGTTTTGTGATTATGGATGTGTATTGTCAACGATTATATACACCATAAAAGATACAAAAATTTCTTATAAAGGATATTTGTTTGTAACACAGGTAGTTTTAACTTCGTCTGAGCCAAATTTTGTTGGAGATATAAATACTAATAGCACTCCCTACAGAATTGAAAGCTGAAAAATTAAATACAGGGTAACTGATTACATTTCCAAAAAGGCGAAATGATGGTAATGTGGATAAATAAGAAGTATGTCCATTTTATAAGTTCAATTCATGACACTGATATGGTGAAGACAAAAAATAAAGATACAAGCCACTACTTAATTACTCAAAATATGAACTTCATTAACATATAATTTAGTTTGAATCTTTACCAAAAGGAAAGGAAAGCCTGATCTGAAATTCATTCTAAGCCTAACATTATAATTTCCAAAGCTGGGTGTCACAAAACTAATAAATGAAGGCCATACTTCTCGATCCCTAAAGATCCTTCAACTTCTGACTTCACAAAAGTTAAAACAGCTTTTAAATCTTTTTATATATACCTTACTCACGTTAATTCTCATATACACCTTTAAAAGAAGATTCATTCCACCTATTGTTGACCATACTATGTTTTTATGCTCTCTCCAAAGCCCAAAAAATTGGAATTCCTTGACCTACAGTTCCTAATTTAGGAATGACATCATATGCTTTGGCCAAATATTTAGTTTCAATATTACCGTAATTTCCGGAAGAAAGGCCGCATCAGCGTAAACGGCGCACTCGAGAAAAATGGCGGGGAAAAAAATTTAAATTACACAGAAACGCAGCATCAGCGTAAACGCCGCAATAGATTAAATTGCACGTGACATCGTTGTGGGCCGTATAGATGCAAAATCTCAACCTAAGTCCTGATATATGACATACCAGTTAAGAAAAATGCATGAAATGAAACTATAATTCAAAAATAAATTAAAGGTAAGAATTCGGGAAAATATATTTACCTTCACGTATATACTTATATACAAACTGAAGAAGTCCACATTTGTAATACTCAGACTATATTATATAAAAAATGTTGCAACAACGAAATATTAAATTTGGATAACAAAAGCAGATTTGAAATTTTATTTAAAAAGGAATTTCAGCAAACTATACATCATATGAAGCCATCAAAATCTGATTCTTCACTATCTGAATTAAAAAGATTTAGTAAATCCTGATCTAAGTCCAAGTCTTCCAGATCATCACATTCATCCTCTTGGTTTTTACAGTCTCTTTATCTAAGGATGTAATTTCAGCTTCTTTGAACCCTGCTATTACTGACGATGTTTTTACCGATTTCTACGCACTTCCTCCGCTTTGCAACTTGTTCATAAGATGCTCTACGCATTTTACCCCTTTTGGTATATGTATGCAATCCTTCACTCATCCAACACTCCCGCCGCTTTCGGACTTCAGCTTTGAAAGATTTATTACCTGACAAATCTAACAGTTGTAAGATTTTTGTCAAACCACTAGGAATTATTGCTACAGTCGTAGACAATTTATGACATCTGGTTTTCACTGACTCAAGTAAATGAGCACGCGTGGAATCCATTATCAATAACCCTTTTGGTTGGAAAAAAGATCCCATACAACACGGCCAAACTTTTTGTAGCCACTCAGGCATGATTGTTTCACACATCCAGCCATTCAATTTTGCACAAATAATTACGTCATTAAGAAAATCTCCCTTCGGAATAGTCTTTCGTTTAAAAATGATCATCGGCTTTAGCTTGTCACCATTTGCGGCACAAGCTAATGTAAATGACGTTCCTTCGTGCCCCGTTGTAAGCACAGATACAGTTTTTGCACCAGTTTCATCAACAGTTCTGTTTGCAGGAGAGTCGAAAGCTAACGGCGTTTCATCCATATTTATTATCTGTGACCGAACAAGTTTTTTTTGTCAATAATATCTGTCACATATTTTAGAAAAGATGTCTTTTTATCCTGCCAGCCCATTGGTAATTGTTGCCTGACTGTTGTTCTAGTACGCACAGAAATATTTTTTCTTTTCATAAATCTGCTACATCAGCAAAGCCCTCCTTTGAAATCATTTATGTTCATTCATTTTGCTATAAATTTTGCTTGTAAACGAATTTTTACACTCGAAATTGCCATTCTCTTTCCTCGTTGCTCCTTTTTCCAGTTTGCAGCCCACCAGTGGCTGAGCGGTAAAGTTGCTGAACACTGGTAGCTCGGTCCGAGCTTCGAATCCCGCGAATGGGCTGGCCGCATCGGTGTTTTCGTGGTTTTCCCCATGTGTAACGTGTATACGAAACAGTTTACCTTAGAAAGTCCTCCACAAGGCATCCCTCCCCTTAGGCAGATAGCCCTAGTGTGCTTTGCCATAATTAAATACACCAACACCTTTATCCAGTTTGCAAGGTCGTCCTTTATCTAGTTTGCAAGGTAGATTTGACCACCTTACAGTACCACTTCTTTTGGCTCGTTTCTGTTGTGGCATATTTTTAAGTTCTCCAACGTCCAATACATCTCTCATCCACTTCAAACTCTCGAGCTACTGCTTTATTTCCAATTTGTTCAGCACATGAAATTACATTAAGCTTAAAACCAGCAGTATAGCTTCTGTGCCGTTTAGGTGACATTTTCAAAAATTCTCCGCTCCCTTCTTACTTAAAAACTATCCAACAAGTACTTGTACTCAAACTTATAGGATCTGTATCTGGCAGAATGCCAAGAAAAATCGATTCATGCTGAAGGGGAAATACGTCAGAGTTCGTTATTGCAAGGCAGGTGGAGTCGTGTCCGCCTTTGAAAAAAATTGCAGAAAAGGCAGGGGTGGGGAGAAGATGGGTTCTGGAAGATTCATCGAATGGCAGAGGAGAGAGACTATTCAAACTGATAAGAATGCTGATTTGAAAGGGGGAAGAATGTTATTGTTCTGAGATCTCGTTTAGGGTGAATAAGGTCCGTTCAAGGGAAAGAATGTAAACAAAATAAACGTTCACAAAAAGCAACTGAGTGATCTTTTGTGTGGGAACAGCACCAGTTTATGTACAATGAAAAGGCCATCCAAACTATGTACAATGATCATCATAGGAAATATTTTATTTTCAGTGCACCTAAATGCCGCATGGGTAGAAACGCCGCGGCGTTTCTTCCGGAAATTACGGTATTTCCTCTACTTTCTAAAAATATTCTTTTGAAGTCATTGATAAAATTAAATATATTTCTTCCCTGTGCTCAAATATGGTTTCTTTTGATATTAAATCACTGATTACTGGTGTTCCAGTAGAAGGAGCAATACACTGTCTTAAAACTAGGATTTGGCAATTTCATTTCACATATGCTGAAACTGAACAGGGAATTTCTCTTACTAAAGTCCACTTTGTTTTCCAAAATGAATATCATCACCAAATTGAAGGACAAGTTTTGGGTAATCTGTCAGCCCTGTATTTGATGACATTTATATGCACTGCTTTGAGGTTAAATTATTTGAGAAACTATCTTTTTGTCTCTGGATTCGCTACATAGATGACACTTTTATGCTTTTTGATGGTAATAAAGAAGATTTATTCCAGATATTTATAAATTCAATGGATCCAGCCATTTGTTCACTTTTGAAATTGATTCTGGCAATACCCTTCCCTTCCTTAATATTCTTATAATTGGTAATGAATATGATTTCAGCACTATTGGGTCCTGTAAAACCTTTTCTGTTTATTCTGCTTCCCATGCTAAGTCATATCATCCAGCTAAGCAAAAAAATGGCTTCTTTTTAATATTATGTATTTTGTGCTCTCAGTGTTTGTTCCTCAGAGCTTTTGCTCACTAATGAACTCAGTTATTTGGAATCGAACCACGGACCTCTGTCTCTGCACAAGTTTTGTGCGTGAAGAACCACTACGCTAAGAAGGCATGCTATGAAGGCAGGAGAAATACCTTATAACCTTCTCATTCACTTTACTTCTTTTGGGTCATAAATACAATGGGGCTTTCCCTTTGTTGCTGCTGATGAAGTGGGGCCTGTATCTGTTTGCCTTGGAAATCAATGGTCTTGACTAAAATCTAATCGAAATACAAAGTTTTTACTTTGATGATTTTATGTTTTTAGATCTTAATGTCCTGGATTGCAATAAGACCAGGTAAATCTGGGATCCAATACAGAGCTTCGGCTAAATTTTGGTGATGCCTAGCAGAAGCTCAGCTATAATGTATGGAGAAGTGATATATTCAAGATTCTCATCTCCTCATCACTACTATATCTCACCTTCCTGAGGATGAAAATGCAACACAAAAGGCATGAACTGTTTGTTTGTGAAATTCTTTGGTACGATTGTTCACTGACAATCTCAACATGTGGAATAAAATAACTAATACAAGAATATTCCACAACTTCACACTTACAAATTACCTGAGAAATTGATATTTTTTTCAATACTGTTTTGTGCAGGTCCTTAATTTAGTCAGTCAGAGATTATGGCCTATATTTCTGCACAGAATGCACAAGGATACCCATCACACAAAATTATTCTCTATCAATGAGTTTACATCCAAGACAAATCCAGGCCATGAAATATGCTTGTTTCACTAAGTTTGTGACCCACCAGCAGCCGAGCGGCAAAGTCTTGAACACTGGTAGTTCAGTCCAGGGTTTGAATTCCGGCAAATGGGCTAGCTGCATAGCTGTTTTTTCCTAGGTGTAATGTATATTTTAGAAAGAAAAGGGGCTGGGGGGGCTTTCCAAAAGAGACCGTCTCTTTTAGAAAGTCCCCCCAGCAAAGCATTCCTTCTCTCACACAGATAGTTATAGTACACTCTGCTATAATCTAATCAATCAAAAATGAGCTAATCATAATATAATTTATATAATATTTGTGTTGTACCATACCACATGTTAGGGTTAGTATGATGCAGTGCTTCAAAGACACATAGATTTAATACTTGCAGAGGTTCTAGGTTGTTTATTAGAATCAAAATGCATTTTAATACTTTATATAATTGCTGATACATTTTTAGATGACTAGCCTCCAGCTGTTGAGTGGTAAAGTTGTAAAACACTAGCAGTTCGACCAAAACTTGAATCCCAGCCAACGGGTTGGCTGTTTGGGCATTTTAATAGTTTTCCCCATGTGTAATGTGTATATAAGCCAGTTTCCTTTAGAAAATCATCCATGAAGGCATTCCTTCCCTTAGGGACATAGTGCTCGAGTGCTTTTCTACAATTAAATAAACCAAACCGCTAAGTTCCCATCAATAGACGTTATATTCCTGAAGATTATTTCAAAACCTGACAATATTTCAGATCCTTTTAGAATATTTATTTATTTATTTCTGCTCCTGTATTGAGCTTTTTAGCTCTCTGATCAGCAAGGTGTAAATATACAGAATAGACCATTTTTTGTAATGACTAAGAAAGTATATATCCATACAACTTGAAGTATGTCCCAGAAATTAAGGCAATATATTAAACGTATGTAAATCTAAGTATAAAGCAGCAGGGGCACTAAAATTGACATTAAAATTATGAAAATATATCTTTCTCATGGGTGTTTTAGGAAAGTCAAGTTTCTTAGCAAAACCCACTGCCAGCTGGAGCATTAATACTGTGATTGATAATAATAAATTTATGATTTCAATGAATATTTTGATTAAATTATGAATATTTTGACTTTTTTACACTGAATATATTGAAGCAAAGCTTCAAATATATCCACAAAATTAGTCCATAGGTATGCAATTATATTATGGACATTCATATAAGTAATTAAAATAGCATAGTCTAAACACAATTTGCATATCCGCTATAATATTAAAAAATAATTTTCTACATCTAATCTGCTAACATGGTTGAACACCATCAAATACCACATTAGTGAACACTAGAACATCTGATCTAAAATGCAAGTTCAATTTCATAATGGAAACTAGCTTATTAGATTTCTCATTACGCAAATTAAAAAAATACTGATATGCCAAAGCAATTCCTAACAGACTGAAAGTCAATTTTTGACATAATTTATGATTTCTCTAAAGGACACTGAATTAAAAATTACTGTAATATTTTTTTAAGACGAAGATAATAAAATGACTCTACATTTGAATATTGAATAACATACCTGCTTTAGTATGCCATGCCAGTCTTTTTTCTTTGCCAAAGCCATCTTACTTATATCATCTGGATTTATTTTCTAAAAACAAAAATATAATTCATAAAAATATATTTCACTTTTAATTACAACAATAAACATAATTAATTAATAATTAAAAGACTCGACAATTTTATAAAAGATTTTAAACTTAAACATGACTTTCCTATATAATTTAATATTTACTTTATTTTATTAAAGGGTGATTTTTATTCAGAAAGAATTACTGAACAAATCTCAAATAAGCTTCATATATTTCTGAGTATGTGATCTTAACTTCTAATAAAAATATAGCATTTCAAAACACTCCTCAAAATTCTACTTCTAGAACATAATTTAATGTTCTCTTTAATTTGCAAACAATATACATTACCTAATAAATATCTGATACAAAACGAAATTACAAATTGTTTTTCATTAATCTTCCAAAAGTGAGCCGTGGTGTTCACTCCATTTATTACTCATTAAATATTTTTAAAACAATTTCAGTTATTCAAAGGTTTGGGAAGGGGGGAACAAAGAAAAGGGTCTTTACTATAACTACTCTAAGAAAATTACTTTGAAGAATTTTAAACGTTCATCTTCATTTACTTTTGCAACTTTCATTCTTTTAATTTTTTTATGAAACCAGGATGGACATGAAACCATTAAATAACTGAAAATGGAGCAAAAATCTGATGAAAATCTCAATTATACTAAAACATAATATGTTAACCTAGAATAGGGATTCCCAAACATTTTTGTACCTAAGAGTACGTTCTAGAGCATTGACAGAGTGGTGAGCCCATTGCTTTTTTCAAAGTAAATTTATAGGTTGACACAGTTAATAATATACAAAATTATTATTCAAAAATATAATTCTAGGCTATAATATTTATTGATTGTATTCTCAAACAAATTAGATACTAAATAGTATGTACAAAATTTTACAAATCTTTAGTTTACAATTTATTGGTTTAAAAATTCTTCATAAAATTGTAATTCATCAAGTTAATATAATATTTAGCAATGCATTTCATAGGCCATTTCTTCACAATTAGGAAAGTACGATGATATTCCTCCTCATAAGCAATCATCAAGATGTTCATCTGCAAGTTGAGATCTGTACTTTGATTTTGTGATTTTCATAGTTGAAAACAAAGATATTGTTACAAATTTTGTACATATGTAAATAATTTTAGTTAAATTCTACATGAAACTATATTATTCTTTTGTATATTGTAACATGAAAATCTAAAGAGGCGATGCTTTGCCAGCAAAGTAAGAATACAGCGGTAATCCTCTTTAACACTGAGCAAATGGCTATCTAGCTAAATTAGCAAGATATTGCCAAGCTGGCAATGGTTTTAACAACTAAATTTTATCACCAAACTTGGCAACCATTTGGCAACACTTTGGTCCGATTCCTGTATAACTGTAATGGGTACTTAAATTGAATATCTGTAAAAAATCTATATACCGTATTTGACGGCATGTAAGACACACTTTTTTTCCTAAATTTGGTCTCAAAGAAGTTACCTGCGTCTTATACGTGAAGGACACAGTCTTATACGTGAAGGTAATTGCATTCAATAATTGTTTATTTGGCTTTTACGAAACGTGAGAACTAAAAGAAACCATTCTATTGAAACATTTTTTCCTTGTGTGTGGCCGTCTAAATAAGGGTGTGTCTTATATGCCGTCAAATACGGTATGCAAATGTAACCATATTCAGTCCTTAGATGCAACTTTAACTGTATATGCCTTCATAGAATTCCAAGAAATGGAATTCACTATAAATTTCTCAGCAGTTGGGTGAAAACTGTGTAAGATCAGAGAGAGCATCTACTCTAAGTAGTTGCTAATTCAAAATTGAATTTGGAGCACTGAGATATCCATGAGAGCTTCACCTTTCAGATTCACATTGCATTGCATTGTGTTTAGTGTTCATGGCAGTTTGAAGTGTAACTATAGATATTATTCTGTAACATTCTGAAACGCTATACAACTACTTTTGTGGAAAGTTCAAACTATCATCGGTTCTGTGTGCATTCAATCTACAGTCAAAAGTCGTTAATCCGGACTCGTCGGGACTTCGGCGATTCTGGATTATAGATCATCAGTTTAAATCTCGTAAGATGGCATGCAGAAATTCTAAAATTAAAAATATGAAACCGTAATTTATGAAATAAAGAACAATTATAATCTAAAGGGTATCAAAATTTACAAAAAAAAAAAAAAAAAAAAGCTTAATATTTATTTGTTTACTTTATTAAACATTTCTTTCAATGTAAGTTGTTTAAGTTGCTTCGTTTTATGTGATAATACTTTCTCTTTAATTCTATAAACAGACATAATTTCTTGTTCAGTTACAAAGTTCCGCTGTTCAATGCCCGTTAATTGCTGTGCCGAGAATACCGATTAACTTGTCGATCGAAATTTTTTCGTTTTCACTAACCTCTCTGTCACATTCTTCATGTCTTTATCCATTTTTTGCAGCAATTCCACTTTTTGTTTGTTGGACATCGAAACACACTTTCGTTTTGTAGATCCTTTGGAAGTTCCAGCATCAGAAATTCTATTTGACATAATCGAAAGTTCAAGTTTACTTTTATAAAATTGCTCTTACAGTCTGCAAAAAATAATAAGCGAGATCCAATTCGAAGATTAAGGAACAATGCAATCATTAACATTAACTGAAATAGATAATTAGATAATTTTAGCTTACACCATCCGTTATACATTAAACGTGCAGGCGAAAACGTATTCTGCACTTGCGCACACGCATATGCGCAGTAGTCAAGGTCTTACGTGCACGCGTAAAACGCCTGTGCGGCACATGCGCAGAAGGTCCGGATTATAGATCATTCCGGATTATGGGTGTCCGAATTAACGACTTTTGACTGGAACCCTTTTTGGTGTCAAATGTAGGATTGAATGCCAGTGACAAGAGCAATGGATTAGCAATTAAGACAGCTGGTGGCAGCCTTGGCTGCATTCAAAGAAGAGATGAAAGCAAAGAATCTGTTACAGAAGAGATGAAAGCATATCAAGAAAAGATAGAATGAGTCATCAAGTTAGTTCAAGAAAAAATTGAAGCAGATCAAAAGGAAATGAAAAGAGAAATTACTGCCATATTAGAAAACAAATTTGAAGCTATGGAAGGCAGAACAGACACAGCTGAAAACAAAGCTGGAGAAACTAGAAAAAAGAGTCTCTTCTGTCAAAGAACAAATTGATGACAGAGTTTCTCCTATTGCTAAGGAAAGCGAACACCTGTTGCTATGAAAGAAATTCATAGCAACAGCAGGAAGAAATTCTGATGATTTTGAATTCTCCCTCATGCCTTCTTGTTCCTCTCTAAAACTATCTACATAAGATGGTAAGACCTCCTGGCAAGCATAAAAGACTAAATTTTCTACAGCAACGAACACAAAAGGATGGAATTCCAAAGCAGAAGTCTGCCATGTCACCACTTCTCTGAGAGGAAAAGGAGCAGATATCCTTCAAACTCTGCCAGAGAACTAGAGGCTACACTTTGAAGTTCGAAGCTCTATGTGGCACGTTGGAGCTTTGATTTGAAGAGAAGTGTTTAAAAGATGGTAGCAAGCTTCAGTTGAAATCTCACCAACAGAAGCCGATGGAAACTTTCCAGAAACTTACTATAGATCTCGAAAGGCTGTCTCATCTCGTTTTTGGACTGGCCATCAGAAACAAGAGTAATCCTGTCCTGCAGCAATTTATCGATGGCATCCAGAATCCTGAAAAACAGAAAGCCCTATGAAAGGTAGATGTCAAGGATCTAAAGACTGCTTCAGTGTACACCACAAAAACAGAGACAGTGCAGCAAACAACTTGAAGAGACCATCATCCAGTAAGAGCTGCTATGTCCAAGAACCAAGTGGATCAACTGACTGCACATCCAGATGATTTGATCAAGCAAGGTCAATGATGCAGAACAGAAGTGGCAACAAACATATCTTTAAGAGCTGGAACTGCAGTGCTGAAGGCTGCGTATGAAGGAACTGCAAAACACATCAAGGCACAGAAGCTAAGACCGCTCCCAGCAAGAAAGAAGGGAAATTCATTCATGGCCATCTTGTGGGGTGGAATTTGCCAGATAATGAGAAGCCCTATTTTGAAGTGTTTCAGATTTCTGCAATAGACTCTTCAACATCAGACATATCAATGGAGTTCCTTGCAGTATGACCATCGATACAGGAGCTAATGTGACCATCATTCGAAAAGGTTTTGCTCAACTATTGGAGGATAAACTCATCTGGATGCTGCCCTGCATCAGGATTGGTACACATTTCTGCACAAAGAAATTAAGTACTTTTAAGGACCATTTTTGAAAAAATTAAGGACCTATTATGAGGTATTTCTCCCACCTTCTTAACATGCCTTCGTAGTGTAGTGGTCTACACGCTGGGTGCGTATTCTAGAGGTTTATAGTTCCATTCCTGGTGAGAGCGTTGCTCATTTTTTTATCACTCCTGCTTTAAAAATAACTTGTCTCTGCACTATGAGCAAATGGAAACTGAATAAATTCAATTAAAAATATTATCTATGCCTGAATTTCACTTCTGTAATACCATCCTAAAAATAAATAGATCCATAAGTATCCATTATTATTAAACATAACTTAATTAACATTCTTATTAATAAGTTTCAGAATAAAATAAACTTTATGAAATTTAATAAGCATCATTAAATATTTTACACTTATAATTGACATATCTGAAAGAAGATAAGTGAAATTTTACTAACAGTTAGCTTAATGTTGACTTTTTTTTTTTGTGTCTCATTTTGTCACATACTTGCTCCCTCTAGAGGTTTAGTAAATAATAAGCAGATTCTATGTCAAGTGTCATAGGTTAAAATGTAAAATCATAATCAACATGATTCATAACAAAAGACTGGCTGTTGTCCCTGTTGCCTAGACAGAGAGCATCAGAAAAAACCTGAAAGGCCTGATGTAAGCAAGGTTGGCAAGTTCTGAAAGTTAGCTGGGCTCTGTCTGATGCAGTTAGTGTCGTAGCTTCGAGTAGAGTTCCAGGAGT